ATGACATTTTGATTGAAAATTGCAATGTCAAAAAAATTTTTATCATATAAACATATAAACACCTAAGACATGCATTTAAAAAGTAGTCAGGATGAATTTTAATTTCATGCCAACTTTAAAAGTATGCAATTTACCATAGCCAGCCAGCATGTATGTTTTGTAATTGGTAGAAGTATGCAAATTGGTGTTTAGCTACTGTTTATTTTTTATCTGCAAATGTATGATATTTTATAATAATTTTAGTCTTCTCCATCTTTAACTTGTCTGTTACTCTGTATCTTTCTGTTCCTCTTGATCTTTCCACTTATTCTTCATCCATACAGCGGCTCCTCTGAACGTGTCAGGGTTATACGGCTGTTTGCCCGACCACAGGACCAGTCAGTACTCAGAGAGTCAGAGACGTTCCTCTGCAGTGCAGGCCTGCTACCACCATCACAGCCCCTGTGTTGAGGACAGACCGAGTCGGCTGCAGGCGCGTCTGGAGCTGCTGCAGTCGCAACTCAACAGGTCCGATATCCAGAGGATAAAAAAAAAAAACAAGCTTTTAATGGCAAAGTTTGCGTTTGTCTTACAACTCCACTTTTCTCTCTCTCTCTCTCTCTCTCTCTCTAAAGACTGGAGACCAGGATGACGGCTGATATAAATGTGATCCTGCAGTTGCTGCAAAGGCAGATGGCACCTGTACCGCCTGCCTACAGCGCTGTTTCCCCTGAACTGCTGGCCCACCACGCTCATCCCACCAGCCTGTACACCTCAGCAACGCACAGCACTATGCCATCTTTACAGATCAATGACAGTTCATCACCTGGAAAGGTAGGTTATCACATGAGCAGTGAGAGAAGAACGTTGGTTTGTAAACCACTTATACTTCAAATGCTTGAATCTGATTGGCTGACGAACGTTCTGAGGTGTGCAATTATTTTCAGGGAAACGCACGGCTAACGTAGTTCCAGGCAGCTCTCTTGACCGCATTACAGTTCCATATCACTTCGCATAGTTAACTGTAATAACGGAAATTAGCATACAGTACCTACAGCACACAGGAATTACTGCAATCACACGTGCTCGCACGCACACTACGGTCACGCAGTTTGCACAAAAAGGTGTTGTCAGCGCTGCCCTGACGATTTTATCAGTTAGCCTATATAGTGTAGCAACTTAAAGGCTACACATGACATTTCTCACTAGCGAGGTAATAACAGCACTATTTAGAGACGCTGCTGCAGAACACTGTTGAGGGACGCACAGAGGTAGCCTAATTCACACAAGCTCTCTCTCTCGCTCTT